AATAGATCAATATATCTTTAAGAGAATGTAATAAAAAAAATAAAAGTGGTCATTCTTTATTATCTCTTCATTTCACATATATATATACGCTCTTCAATACGTTGTTTTTGTCTCATTTATCTAGTGAGTATTTATTTATTATTACAAAATTAGAGCCACACAGTCAATCTACAATCTCCATCGTCAACAACAATTAGAGGTTTTACATGAAATGATAAATTTAAGATACGATGATGTATACTAAGAAATTTCTTCGAAATAAATCTTTAGTCATACAGAATATTGACAAAGCATCAGATCATTTCATTTTTTTAATCAATTATTTTTGATTTATTCACAAAAATTAAAATGAATAAGTGGAGATTACGATGCCATTCTCTATCGAATTCTCTTGAGGGTGTGGGTGTGGATAAAGAGAGAACAACCACACCCATCTCTATATACATCCACTGTCCTTCAATGAAACTATTCATTCAGTTGTACAACTAATGATCTGTCTTTTATAAACTATGGCACTTTTTCAATAACCATCATACAATATAACTTCAAAATATTAATGTGACTCATATATTATTTGGTGAATGATTATTTATTAAGAAATGTGCATGATTAAATAGTTTGATTACATACAAAAAAAATTATGATTCAGTTCAAAAAAGAAAATGTCATTCTGTCTATATCGATTAATAAATTTCAACACTATTGAGATTAACACTGCCGTTGAATCCAGCAGCAACTAATACTGATCCATTTGCTAATATGGATGCTGTGTGATCAATACGTGCGGCATTCATGCTTCCTGTGGTTGTCCAAATCCCTGTTGATGGATTGTACAATTCAGCACTACTGAGAAAACCACCACCGCTCGTCTGTCCACCAGCAACTAGTACTGATCCGTTTGATAATGTGGATGCTATATGAGATCGTCGTGCAAAACTCATGTTTCCTGTGATTGTCCAAGTGCCTGTTGATGGATTGTATAATTCAGCACTATTGAGATAACTACTACTAGTGCCATATCCACCAGCAACTAATACTAATCCATTGGCTAATGTAGATGCTGTGTGATAACATCGTACGGCATTCATGCTTCCTGTGATTGTCCAAGTGCCTGTTGATGGATTGTACAATTCAGCACTATTGAGATAACTACTACTACTACTGCTGCTCTGTCCACCAGTAACTAACACGGACCCATTTGCTAATGTGCATGCTGTGTCATACAATCGTGCGGTATTCATGCTTCCTGTGGTTGTCCAAGTGCCTGTTGATGGATTATACAAATCAGCAATACTGAGAAAACCACCAGCGTTGTATCCACCAGTAACTAATACTTTCCCATTTGCTAATGTGGATGCTGTGTGAAATTCTCGTTGAGCATTCATGTTTCCCGTGATTGTCCAATTACCGGTTGATGGATTGTACAATTCTGCACTATTGAGATAACTACTACCGGTGCCATATCCACCAGCAACTAATACTAATCCATTTGCTAATATGGATGCTGTGGGCCACTCTCGTGCGGCATTCATACTTCCCGTAGTTGTCCAAGTGCCTGTTGATGGATTATACAATTCAGCGGTATTGAGATAACCACTGTCGCCATCTCCACCAGTAACCAATACTGATCCATTTGTTAATGTGGTTGCTGTGTGATAATATCGTGCGGTGTTCATGTTTCCTGTCATTGTCCATTCTAGATAAAGCAGAAAAGTGAGTAAAAAATGTTGTTCTTAAAATGACTTTGAATCTCTCATGTGCATAAATTGTCTATCTATTGATCACACATTAAATGATTTTAAATCTTCAATGAACTTCTCTTTGTTTTCATGATTAAGATAATATTCATTATGAAATGTTAAATAAAATTAATGAAAAGTATGTTATAAACGATTTCACTGATATTTTTCGAGTTCTATCAATGTCGCAAATTGAAGAAACTTCAACACTGTCCTACAATTCAGTTATGATGAATAATAATTGAATTTCAGAATTCGAGTAGAAATCATTTTACATTGTTCAACCTAATGGAAACAAGATGTACTTTCACCATCTTAGATGGATGGTGTATGTGTATGTCAGTATGTCGGTAAGGATAAATGTCAATGAGGATGTAACTGTGAGTAAAAGAATATAATTCTCGCATTGTTTTCATGAGAAAATCAGTGCACTAAGGGTTAATTGATGATGATGAAAGGCATCTTTCTCGAGTCTGAAGTTTTTATTTTATACTTTTACAGTATTTTTTTGAATTACTGAGCTCTATACCAGTGTGATCTAAAATATGACATGAGATGTTGGTAGACATGTCTCATATCAGTATTATATTATCTAATAATTCAACGTGTAGAATTATTCTCGGATCATTTTGAGAGTAGGTAAATGTAAGTAATCACTAAAATGATCAATGAGTTCTATCACACAAAATCTTTTTATCTGGTATGTTTTCGTCTGACACTGTTTGACAGAACAAGAATATTCAATACTTAAATGAGTGTATATCAAATCAAGTCATCAAAAATTGACCTCATCTCGACTTCTGCTGGATATATTCCCTAATGTTGTCTATCTAGATGGTGATCATTTAATAGCTACAGTGAAAACTTTTAAATATCGTTCTTTCTAGTAATCATCGTTTGAGCTACTACAAATCATTTAACACAGTACTGACGCTTTCTTGCTATTGTTGTTGTTGCTGTTGATGACGTTGCTGTGGATGTTGTTGTTGTTGATGATGATGTAGTGGATGTTGTTGTTGA